CTTGCATTTAAAAATTGGCCAGGCTTGCATTGACCTCACAGTGTTCACAGCCTGTACAGTGCAAGCATCTGTCGGTCGCCGTTGCAGTGGCCTCCTGGCCGCTTCGAGCATTTTGTGCTCAAATCCCTCTTCTGCAGTAACTCACATGGAGGTTTGTATTTGCATATTAGTGTGAGGACTCCTGGGCTGCAGCAGGTCAGCCTTCTCCTGCCGGGGGAAGGCTGGGAGTTGTACTCTGACCCATCTAGACAACACTACGAGAGGGAAGGCTAAAATAGCAACTGACCGCAGGGCTCTCCCCACTGTTTTTACCCATTTCCACCTGGCTCGCATTAGTGGCACTTGGGGATTCTAGCAAGAAGCAAGGGAGAACCCCAAAAGCAAGTTGAGCCCCCAAACTGCTGGACTGGGTCAGGGTGTTAGAAGTGTTCACCATGGGGAGCAAACGGCAGACAACAAAGCAACGTGTCTGTCAGTTCAAAGCAAAGGTCTACGCTGTTTGTCTTCCTGGCAGCTTCAGAAGTGCTGTGCCTCCAAGTCCATACCGTGCCTCCAAATACTGCCAAGCATCTGGAGAAGCATGTGAGAAACGCTTTTCCGTTTCATCTGGGATTTACCCAGTTTGCACCTTCTGGACCAGGCGGAGCCTCAGAAGTCCATGAGTCCATTTCCAAACCTACAATGTGATTTTCAGCCCCAACATTTAGATGTGATGGTGTGTGTGCCTATGAAATGCTGAACTTTTGCAAATGAACACAGCTATGTTTCACTTGATGGGAGAAGAATGTGTCCACTTCCAAGACGTGCACACTTAATGCATACAATTGGAAACACCCCCCCCCCCCCGCAAATAGGCGTAGATTTTCATGCAAAAAGGAAAAAACAAAGCTCTCACTCTGGTATGGACCCAAATCAGGATGAGATTTGAGATGGTATTTGGAGAACTTTGGTGAGCTCGAGTTTTGTTGATTTGCAAACACGGTGCTGGAGGAAAGCTTTGCAAATACCCTGGAATGGCAGAAAGACAAACGGAAAGTGCATCATAGGTTAAATCAAGCCGGAACTTTCCGGAGACCAAAAACTGACAAAATGGAGGCTGTCGTACTTTGAGTGCATTTTCATAGAATCATAGAAGAGTCGAGTTGGAAGGGGCCATGAAGCCCATCAGGTCCAACCCCCTGCTGTTGCAGGACACCAAGCCACACCATCCCTCTCAGGTGGCTGCCCAGTTTCTTTCTGAATGTCTGCAGTGTGGGAGGGTCCACCACCTCTCCAGGCAGCTGCTTCCACTGTCACACGGCCCCGACAGCGAGGAAACGTTTCCTGGTATCTAGCCTGCATCTGGCTTGTCTCAACTTGAATTGATTATTCCGTGTCCTCCACTCTGGCATCAGCAAGAAGAGATTGTCAGAAAATCCCGGAATCTCAATTTGTGAGGAGGAAATAAAACTCGGGTTCGTGGGAAAGATCAAGCATCCAGACCATCTTGGCTTTATTGTATTACCCAGGTTCCTGCGGTAGACTCACAATAATGCATTACCGGGCGGGCAGAGGTAAACTCTGCTGCCAAGCTTCAATACCATTACAGGGCATTGATACCCTCCCAGTCATGTCACAGGTACAGGGCAATTGATGACAGAATGCAGACATTACAATAAGGTTCTGAGGTCATCACATACAGAACAGATAAAGGAATGTCAGTCAATCATACAGAGACAATGAGATTACAATATTTCTAATTGCAGTGTATTGACACTTTAGTTGAGTAACTTGAACCCATCTCCAGGTCTGCTTAGACATGTAAATTCAAGCTACTGAGAAACTATTC